GACGGCGACCCCGCGGCGCCGGACGCGCTCGCGGTCGTGCTCCACTTCAAGGGCTTCCTCGCGCTCGCGGCGCACCGCGCGGCGCACGCGCTGTGGGGCAGCGGCGACCGCGACGTCGCGCTGCTCCTGCAGGGCCGCGCGTCGGCGCTCTTCGGCGTCGACATCCACCCGGCGGCGTCCGTCGGCGCGGGCGCGTTCCTCGACCACGCGACGGGCATCGTCGTCGGCGAGCAGGCGAGCCTCGGCGAGGGCTGCTACGTGCTCCACGGCGTCACGCTCGGCGCGACGGGCAAGGTCCGCGACGGCCGGCGCCACCCGGCCGTCGGCGCGGGCGTCACGCTCGGCTCCGGCGCGTCGGTCCTCGGCCCGATCACCGTCGGCGACGGCGCGACGGTCGGCGCGAACGCGTGCGTCACGAAGGACGTCGAGGCCGGCGCGACGGTCGTCGAGACGGGCTACCTCAACAACCGCGTCCTCGCGCCCCGGAAGAAGAAGGCGAGCTAGCTAAGGCGCCGGCCGCTCGAAGACGACGAGGAAGTCCCGCTCGAGGAGGAGGTTGCCCGGGACCTCCGGCGACTCGCGGACGACGGCGAGGCCGGCCTTGGCGAGGAGCCGGCGGACCATGTCGGGCGTCATGAAGTAGAAGCCGATCTGCGTCGCCTCGGCCTGGGACGCGAAGCGCTCGAAGCCGCGCTCCGTCATGAGGTTGCCCGTGGACACGTAGCCGCGGCCGCCGGGCTTGAGGACGAGCGCGAACTGCTGGAAGTAGCGCCACATCGTGTGGAGGTCGACGTGGACGAAGGCGTCGAACGCGTAGACGAAGTCGAAACTGCCGTGGAGCGCCGCGTCGAAGCGCGGCTCCGCGAGCAGCGTGAAGGCGACGTTGTCGAAGCCCGCGAGGGTCTCGCGCGCGAGCGCGAGCATGGACGACGACACGTCGAACGCGTGGAGCCGCGCCACGCGCGGCGCGACGCGCGCGGCGACGCGGCCGCCGCCGACGCCGATCTCCGCGACGTTCCCGCCCCGTCGGAGGTGCGGCGCGACGTAGGACTCGAAGACCTCCAAAAAGTCGCCGCGCGGCCCCCACTCGTCGCCGAGCCAGACGAGCGGCGTCGACGCGTCGCGATGCTCGTTCGCGACGCCGACCCCGTGCTTGTCCGCGCGCCAGCGGTCCGCGTAGCCGTCCCAGACGCTCCTGTAGAGCTCCACGTTCCGCCGCGTCACCGCGGCCTCCATCACCGCGGCGACGCGCGCCGCCGCCGCGGCGCGGCCGCCCTGGATGTCGGCGTCGGGGAGGTGGTCGCGGGCGAGCGCGAGAAAGTCGTCGTTGCTCGTGAAGCGGAGCGTGCGGTCCACGCCGTCGATGGTGACGGTGACGCTATAAATGTCCTGCGCGACGACGGCGCCGAGCAGGAGGAGCGGTATGGAGCGGCTGCCCATTGCTTGCGCGTTGACGGCGCCGAGCAGGAGCAGCGCTGCGCAGCGGCTGCACATGTTCGCCATGTCAAGCACAGCGATTTACGGCGCTGAGCCGGAGCAGCGTCGCGCAGTGACTGCCCGAGCTTGCCATGTTGTTAATAAGCACAGCGATTTGCATGAGGCCAAACTTGGCCCAAAGCTGCCCCGGCAGGCCGGACGCGAACCGCGTTGCCGATGGCGCTTCAGCAGCGCTCTATCACGCGCAAAACAACCACCATGCCTCGCGTCTGCACCAGGGCCTCCGCGCTCAAGTTCGTCTCCGTCGCCGCCGCCGTGTTCGCCGCGGCCCTCGCCGCGCTCGTCGCGACGCCGCCGCTCCAGAAGGAGATCGTCTTCCTGCACCGGCTGAACTGGCCGCCGGCGACGTGGGCGCTGCCGGCGCGGCCCATCGAGGTCGGCGGCGCCGCGTTTTCGCGGTTCTTCGGCCTCCACGGCGGCCTCGCCAACGCGACGGCGGCCTGGGTCGACGGCGCCGCGGGGCCGCTCGGCGCGTGGCGCGCGGCGCGCGCCGACGACTGCGCGGGCCGGCCGGCGCGGGTTGTGCTCTACCTGCACGGCAACGGCGAGAACCGGGCCTGGGCGCCGACCCTGCGCAAGGTCGAGGCGCTGCGGCGGCGGCCGTTCTGCTCCGACGTCGTCACGTTCGACTACCGCGGCTTCGGCGATTCGCCCGGCGACCCGACGGAGGCGGGGCTGCTCGAGGACGCGGCCGCGGTCTACGCCTGGCTCCGCACGCAGGAAAAGAGGACGGAGCTCGTCCTCTACGGCCACAGCCTCGGCAGCGTCGTCGCGCTGAGATTGGCCGCCCAGCTCTGCGGGGCCGGAAAACCCGCGCCGCCGCGGGCCCTCGTCGTCGAGGGCGCGCTGAGCTCGGGCGTCGACGTCGTCGTGTCCTTCCTGCCCTTCCTCGCGCCCGCGCGCGGCGCGCTCGCGGCGGCGCTCGCGTACGGCTTCGACGCGCTCCCCGCCGCGGCCGCGATCCCGGCCCGGTGCGTGCCCAAGGTGTTCCAGTTCCACGGGGCCCGCGACCGCACCTGCGGCGTCGCCCTCGGGCGCAAGGTCGCCGCGGCCCTCGCGGCCGCGCGCGGCGCGAAGCGGACGGCGTTCGTCGAGGTCCCCGGCGCGGGCCACGAGACGGCCTTCGACGACGGCGCGCTCCGGGCCGAGCTCGCGCGCTTTTTGGACAACTAAAGTTACTCGCCGAGTAACAGTTATATCGATTTATCACATGTGACACACATCGGCCCGGCGCCCGCGGCTTCTTTTTTCCGGCGGGGCCCGCGGCTACAAATCTCGGGGGTGAAGGACCGTCGCCCGCGCCTCCGTCACCGCGCGCCGACGAGCGGCAGGCTCGAGTCCCAGGCCGGGGACGAGAGCGCGTGCTCCGAGTTCGCCCGCGTCGGCGACGTCGGCGGCGCGTAGTAGGAGCCGGGGAAGCGGGGGCTCTCGCCGAGGCCGTACTTCTTGCGCAGCCGCTTCATGTCCTGCTCGTCCTCGTAGGCGCTCACGTCCGTCGGGCTGTGCACGAGCGCGTGCGCGAGGGACTCGAGATCCGCGTCCGACGCGCTCCGTCGATGCGGCGGGCTGCTCTCGGGGCTCCGCTGCCGCTCCGCGGCGGCGTCGTTGTCCGCCTGGAGCCGCTGGCGCGTGTCGGAGACGATCGTCGCCGTCTCGCGCCGCCGGCGCTCCTCGTCCTTCTCGGAACGGTTACAAGATATTCCCGTCGCCGATAGGAACGCGCCGGCGATGAAGCACTCGATGACGACCATCGTCGGGCCGGGGTCGGTGCGGGGCGCCCGGCGGGCCAAGGTACGGCGGCCGGGGGGGCGCACAGTCGCTGCCTCGAGCTGTAAAGTTCCCGCGCGTAGCGACGCTCTCCGGCTGCTCGCCGCGGCTCCGAGGCCTCTCCCAAGCTTCACCTCGAGAATGTTGCACCTCCGGCGTCACGAGTTGCCTTTGCGAAACTCGACGTCGCCGTGAGAGCCGCTCTCGGAATGCGTGTGGAGAGGGGTCGCACAGACGAGCGTATCGAGTCTCCGGACTACTATGGACGTCCCCGTGCGGCGCGACCGTCGTCACGGTGACTTAGTCGTGACGGCATGCAGCATTTGAATGGACGCCGCGCCGCGGCGGCCGCCGCGGCGTCCCGCCCGGAGCGCCCCAGCTCTCGGAGTTCAGCCGCCCGCGTCCAGCGGACCCGGTCGCCTGCTTGCGATTGGGAGACTAGTCGCTCGCGGGCGCGGGGCGCACGGGATGGCTCGTTGAGCCGTCCTTGAACGACGCTTGAACGCCTCCTTGACCTGCGGCTGAGCGAGCACGTCTGGGACTCGGTGACCTGCGTTTGTGTGCCCCTGCGTCGATACATGACCAACCCCCCGGACGAGTCCAAGTGCATTCGTCGCGAGCCCAACTACAGCCTCCTGCTGCCGATCCTCTACGCGCCGGTGTTCCCCATCCTGCGCATCGCTCTCAAAAACAACCCCAAGCTCCCCGTCGCCTACGGCGCGGCCCTCGCCGCGGCGCTCGCCCACGCGGGCTACGTCATGTTCACGGACAGCAGCGTCTAGATGAGCTTCGTGGGCTTCGCGGCCTTTGAGGCCGAGGACGCGACGCTCGCCGCGGCGACGACGCGGCGCGCGTTCGCCGGCAAGGACGACGCGCTGTCGCGCGCGTGCAAGAGCTGCGGCAAGAAGGACGCGACGACGCGGCTCCGGGGGCTCGCGAGCCTCGCGGAGCGGGCCTCCTCGGTCGACGCGCGGGAGCTCGCGCTCGTCGCCGCGTGGTGGGCCGAGAGCGGCGTCGCGCGGTCCGCCTTGGCCGACGACGACGCGCGCGTCCGCGAGGCCGCGGCGAAGGCCCTCGAGGCCTGCGCGGCCGCCGGCGCGCCCCTGCGGCGCTTCGAGGGCGAGCTCACGGGCCCCTGGTGGGCCGCGACGGCCGACGGCGCGCCCGAGGTCGCGCGCGCGGCGGTCGCCGCGTGGCGAGCGGCGTTCCCGAAGGCCGGCGGCGTCGCGGGCGCGGCGCGGAACCGCGCCGCGATCCTCGACTTCCTCGGCGCCGCGCTGGCGTCCGACGACGACGCCGCGCGGAGCCGCGCGCTCGGCGCCGCGGGGAAGCTCGTCGACGCGGCGCGGTCGACGGGCGTCGACGACCGGTTTCGCGAGCTGCTCCGCGCGTTCGCGGCGCAGCCGGCGACCTTCAAGGCCCTCAAGGGGGGGTCCGGCGACGTCCTCGAGCGCCGCGCGTGCTACGGCCTCCTAGCGCGGCTCGCGGCCCGGGCGCCGGACGCGTGCGCGCTCGACGGCGGCAAGCGGGTCGGCGGCGGCGCGCTCGCCTTGCTCGCCGCGGACGCCGAGGAGCCGTCGAACGCCGCGGCGCTCTGGGAGGCGCTGGCGGCCGTCGCGGCCGTGGAGCGCTGCGTCGACGAGGCCGCGGCGAAGGCCGCCAAGTCCGGGAGCCTCGAGGGCCGATTGGCAAAGGCGGCCGGGAAGGCCGCCAAAGACCGGCAGGTCGCGCGGGCCGTCGCCGAGCGCGCGCCCGCCGTCGCGCGCGCCGCGCCGCGGCTCGCCGAGGCGCTCGCCGCGGCGCTGCGGGACGCGTGCGTCGCCGCGGACCACGCGTCGGCGGGAAGTCTAGGCGCCGCGGCCGTCGCGATCGAGCCCGCGCCCGCGTCGCTCGTCGCCTTCTGCGGCGCCAAAACGCCGCCCAAGGCGTCACTGATCGCGGCCGTCGCCGCGGCGGCGGCGGCGATGGACCCGGCGGCCCTCGCGGCGGCCTTCGGCGGCGCCTTCGGCGACGGCGCGACGCTCGGCCGCGTCGTCGCGGCGGCGCCGCCCGAGGCCGCGGCGGCGCTCGCCGCGGCGCTCGTCGCGCCGGCCGCCGACGCCCGGGCGACGGGCTTCCTCGCGGCCCTCGCGGCCGCCGCGGGCCTCGCGGCCGCGGCGGCGGCGGCCGCGCCGGCCGACGCCGTCGGCGCGTGGGCCGCGGACGCGAAACTCCTCCCCGGCGCCGTCGCGCTCGCCGAGGCGCGGCGCGGCGCCGACGGCGGCGCGACATTGTCGGCCGTGCTGCGCCAAACAACGGACGCGCCGGCCGTCCTCGCGCTGTTGGATCCGGAGCGCCCGCTCGCGGGCGCCGACGCGGCCGTCGCCGACGCGGCGTTCTGGGCCGCCGCGGAGTCGCGCGAAAGATTGGACGCCGTCGCGCCCTTCGCGTCGCGCGCCGCGGCGCTGGACGTGCCGGGCCGCATACGCCGGCGACCTCGCGGGCGACTCGCGGCTCGCGGACGCGCTGCTCCGCCGCGCGGCTTCGGCCGGCGACGCGGACCTCTCCGAGGCCGCGCTGGCCTACGCGCTCGGCGACGCCGGCGCGCGCTGGGACGAGCTGTGGCGCGGCGCCTGCCACGGCGACGCGCTCGTCAGCGCCGCCGCGCGCGCGCCCGCGGGCCTGGCGACGGCGCGCGCGCTCCGCGCGTGCCGCGTCCTCGGCGCGGGCGCCGTGAACCACCCGCTCGTCGCCGCGCCGCTCGACGCCGGCGCCGTCGCGGCGTTCGCGGCCGACGCGGGGGCCGTCGCGGACCTCGTCGCCGCCGGCGCGGACGTCGTCGACGCGCTCCGCTGCCTGGACGGCGCGCCGCCGGACGACGACTTGGTCGAAGGCGCGGCGCTCGAAGCGGCGCTCGACGGCGTCGCCGCGCCGCTCCCCGGCGGGAGCGCGGCGCTCGGCGGCCTCGGCGCCGGACCCGCGGCCGTCGACCTGCTGGAACGCGCGGCGCTCGCGGGCCTGAAGCGCTACGACGACGACGGCGCGACCGGCGCGGACCGCCGCGCGGCGCTCGACGTCGCCGCCGCGGCGGTCGCGCGCCTCGCGCCCAAAAACACGACGACCGCGGGCGCGCGGCCGACCTTCGCCGCCGGCGCCAAGGTGCGCTACGTCAGCGCGGACGGCGCGACGTCCGAGCCCGCGTCCGTCGTCGCGCTCCACCGCGACGACGATCAGAACGTCTACTACACGATCGCGCTAAGCGCCGGCGGCGAGGCGGCGCGCGAGAAGCAGACCGTCGGCACGCGGCTCCGGGCGTCGGGGCCCGCGGCGACACCGGCGGCGCGGCCCTACTGCGCCGCGGACGGCGACGGCGGCGCCGCGCGGGCCGCGGCGTTCCGCGGCGCGCTCGCTGCGGTCGCGGCCGGCGGCGGCGCGCCGGCGTCGCGGTGGCTCGCGGCGTCCGCCGTCGCGCGGCTCCCGGGCCCCGCGGCGCCGCCGTCTACGGACCTCCGGGTCGCCGCGGCGCAGGTCGCCGCGGCGACGCCGTCGCCCGCGGCGGCCGAGGCGGCCGCCGCGCGCCTCGAGGCGCTCGCGGCGGAGGGCGGCGCGGCGCCGGGCGCGGCGCGCTGGCTCGAGGCGGCGCTCGGCGGCGGCGCCCTCGACCTCGGCC